CTACTAGTAAGGCACTTGTTACTAGTAGCGATGCACTTGTTCCTAGTAGCTTCCAAGTTGTCCCTCACTTGGCTGTAGAAGTCCACCAGACCCCCGAAGATTTTTCGAACAGCTCTGCTGTAGAGAGTTGTTGGGGTTGTGCTCAGAAGGGGAGCAGGCCTTGTACTGCGACTGTTCTGACGCTGAGACACATTAATTTGTACTATAGTGTTGCGCAAAATGCAAATCAAAAGACATGGTCCTGGGACACAGGCGGGGCATGGACACAGTCTATATATTTAGGCGACCTTCATCCAATCCCAAACTAGATTGCTGCACTCATGATTGTTGTGCTCAGCGCTTCCAAACAACTTGAAAGTAACCACAAGTTGAAGTTCAAGTTTCCATCTCCATGCTAGCCAGCTATTGCCCAGTCCCAGAGATCATTGCATGTCTCGCCACCCCGAAGTTGTGCTCCAATATATACACTATTGAACGCTCAAGCGCCCACCTCCCGTTTCGCAAGAAGCCCAACCGCAGAGTTCCCTGCTTCATATATTCATCACCTTCAAAAGTGCATCTTAGAGGAAGCAAAACCCGCACTCTTCAAGTTATCGCCTGCATTGGAGGGTGATCAATGTCGCAGGCCCCGCAGGCTGCCAGATTTATTTTGCGGGAGCCACTTGCTTGCCAGTTTGCCGGGAAAACCGCAAACCTCTATCATGATCCCCACAAAGGTTTTCTCAGCTGCCTTACTGTGGACTTTTGCATCAGGACCATAGCCACCCACCACCAACACCTGACGACCACCGACCACGCACGTCACGTCTCCGATCTTACTAACAAATGAGGAACAAGTTGAGGTCATGCTTCACAACATGGATTCCTCCTCGATGCCTCGTTTTGCTGAGGTTTCTTGCTGTCGTGCGTCAAGGTAGAGGATTGGGATTTGGCGTGGCCCCAGGCGGGATACGGTTGTTGGAAGATGAGGCCATTTTGCTGAGTGTAACCCTTACAGGTCCTGTAAATGTCTAAGTTGACATTTTTTCACTGACCCACCACTGTGTTTGTTAGCCCCTGCTTCCAAAGGATGAATTTGCCACTTATGCAACTTCGAAGACTTTACATACTCCTGGGTACGCATTCCTTCCTAAGTGTCACTCATCCAGAATCCATGTTTGGCACACCGAATACTCACCTCAACTTGGCTACACTAAGTGGAGGCTTCGACATGGATCCAATTTTTGTTGTGTTTGTTGCCCATGTTCAAAGTTTGTTTTTAGTGGTAACCTCACACGAACAAACATGATTGGATAGGAGGGATACCGTGATACCAGCTTTAACACATCAACACGGGAAAGCTAAAAAGCAGTGGCTTTAGGCTGCATATTCACCAAGATATTGTCTCCTCGAAGCAATAGTGTTTCTTTATGAGGTCTTTTTGTGTTGATTTCCAACAGGGACTCCTGAAGACAATTTTGCCGATGTCTTGAATGTTTATGTCAATGTTTCAATGCCTTGAAGTCTGAAGGGAGCTTGTCACTGTGCAGTGTGTCACATTTGGTCACGATTAGGCATTGTATTTGCTGGTGGACGCTTGTCCGTCCGAAGCTAAGTTGTCCATGCGTAAATGAAACCGATGTCACTTAATTGAAATTTAGTTCGAGTATCAAGTTAACCATTTGATGTAGACTCAGTTACCGTCATACACCCAAACAAAGGATGTGTCCTGCAAACGCCTGAGCTGAGGCGGTGGGGCTTGGTGCCTTCCAGCGAGCACTTTGCTTTGGTGTTGCAAAGCCTCCCTCGGAACCAAGTGAGAGGCTTAGTCTTTTCTTCTCCAACGAGACGCCAACGGCTTAGCTATACAAGCTAGATAGGTTTGCAAGACAAGGAGATGTTCAGAGGAAATGATCTCACACGTGCCTCAAGTCGTTTAAGTCGTTTGGAGAACGACATCTGAGCCGCTGACTCTGAGGTCTCTTGGCGTATTGCCACTGAGCTTCTGGCCGAGATGAAATTGTCCGGATCAGAGGGTCACCGAGCACCGTCGGACATTCGTCACAAAAAAAAAAACATATTACGTTATGTTCTGAAATGCTTTTTAAAAAACACTTAATAATGTTAAACAATTACATGTTGGAGCCCTCGGGCTTCACTTTGGTTTGTGCGGTTCCCATAGTTGACATGAGGTTGGATGTTACAAGGGACACGGCAATTGATCTCATGAGGGTTTCAACCATGATCATCAGCCCTGAAGAGACTTCCATGTGCTTTGGCCGTCTTGAGGTGTTGTCACTATTGTGAAGAGATTTTGTTGCCTCGAGCCTTATATGGGGACATAGGTTTCTTCGAAGTTGCTTAGTTGCCACAGGAAATATGCCTCTAAACTAATCTTTTTATGCAACACCTCCAAGTCCAGCAAAGCGGATATGCATCAGATGTCAAAATCAGCAAGTATACTTGTGGGTTTGTTCCGTGTCTCATAGGAGTCTCCTTGATACTTTTGGAGCCAGACTATCCTCTCAGAAATATAAGTTTGGCTGTAAGAAAGACGGTTCATCCTCACTACTCCTTCCCCACGGCGAGTTGGGTTGACATCGCCCGGGTTGTCAAAGTGGTTCCCCGCACCTCCATCTTTACGGCCTTGGTTTGTTTGTGACCTGGCCAGTTTTCCGTTGCCCAGGCTGGGCTTGCAATACACTCCGCAGTGCTATGGTGGTGCTGCTTCTCGACCGAGCGAGAAATGACACTGAGTCGCCCACTTTCGATGAATGTCACCGCTCTTGATGTAATTTTGGTAAAGTAAAACGGACTAATGGACTTGGGTCATCTTGGGTCCCTTTAGTGAGGGTCAAGAGCGATAAGCTCTCTCAAGTTCCTCCCTGTCGCACAGGGCCATGAGAAGACACCATGACTCGTCATGACACAATCCGTTTCGGCTGTGGATTGTGCACCGGCTGAGGCCCATACCTTTGCCCTTCGTAACTTGGCAGGGTCTGGAGCTTCGTGAACCGAGCTTCTAAAAAATTGGGAACGAAAATAGAACCAGGTGAGAACGAAAATGGAACTCGGAAGATATTTAATTCAGTCCGTTCACAACATGAGTCATTCATCTGACATGTCGAACTTGGACTTTCCAAGGGCCTAGTGCAGTTTAAGCTTTGACAAGGCAGATTTTCTGAGCACCGAACTACAGTCCTCTTTTGCCACCCCTGGAGGAATGTGATTGAGCATGACCTGAGCCAAGGCAGATCCAAATCAATCAGACCCAAATGTCTTGAAAGATGTTTTGTCATCTTCCAAGCACATCCAAACTCGAAGACAACAACCTCGATGTTAGGTTCATGAGGGAAGGACGTGGGAAGAATACGCGCTGATAAAACGAATAATATAAAAGAAATAGTAAAGACCCGGTCTCAAAGGACGACCTTTTTTCCCTGAACTGAACAGCTGCAATAGCTGATGGCTCAAGAGCGCTCATTGCGCCAGCCCAGCTCAATTGTCTACGTCCCACTGCTTGGCCGCTGTGCAAAGCAGACGCAGTGGTCGTCACTTGGTGGACACGGCTTAGGGGGACGTCCCTCGAGGCCACGAATAGACGCAAAAAAGAAGACTTGAATAGACTGCGACTCGTGATTTGAAGCATGTTTCTACTGGTAGCTACTTGCTACTAGTAGCGATGGCCTCCAACCCAATAGCGATGGCCTCCACCTAGTAGTATTCGGGGGGGCCAAGCAAAATTTATAGAAAAGTATATAATTGAGGGTTAAAGACACGCCCTTCAATTAAGTTCCAAAAAATCAGGAATGTGCCCCCTCAATTAATCTATTTGATCAATTGAGGGGCCCCCCCCAGGGTCCTATCAAACGTAGGGTCCGGTCATGTTCCTACATGTTAGTGTGATTGCAGTTTGTGATAAAAGTTGGATAATACCCCCTGGCCCGTTTGCCCTGCCACCCTGACTCGTTCGTAGGTTTGGTCTGCAATTGCTACGTGACTTTCGGGCAAGGCGTGGCAAGGATGACCTTTTCATCTGCGGTTCCTGGGTCAAACGGAAAAATAGGTAAAACAACCAAAGGAACCTTCATCGAGAAAAAGTAGACCTTCATGAGTTGAGAGGGACGAGTGCCTATGTCGTTTGGGGCTCAGACACCACGAAAGAGAACACATGTTTGCTGTGTCGGACATGTTTGTGTTTGTCGTTTGCGATGACAAGCTGACGGTTGCTCCAAACCAAGGTTCCAGCATTCATGCGTGTGAGAAGAGTGGTCAATGGCCACAAGCTCTTGCCTTGTTGCAACAGTTGGACTGCTGGACATTGGAAGGTGGGGAAAAATGTGAAGCATGCAGAACAAATTCTCCACGGTAGGCACTCAGAGACTTGGATGTTTTGCGGTCACATGAAGCGATGGCCTCCAACCTACTACGTAGCGATGGCCTCCAACATGGATGAATGTTTTTGGAACATCTTCATCCAGGCCTTCCCTGGTTGACCTTGGCAGATCATCAGGACGTCCAATTTTCTACTGATTGCATGGCACGCTAGGATTGGAGTGGCCCCGACCACAGCATTTTTGGAGCACGTTATGCTATCCGATGACGTTATATTGTGTGTGTGCCCAAAACAAGAATCCAAAGCCACAGTCGAGTGCGTCGAGGCAATGTGGTGGTCCATGGATCCGTACTTTCTGCCGCGACACACGGGCAGGGCTCAGAATGGGCATCAGCCACGGCGCTCCTTTGCGCTTTGCAAGACCAAGAGATACAGAGCAATGTGACGCTGAGAATGCACGGCTAACTAGAAGATTGATTTAGTATGTTGGCATGAAGGGCTCTGTGTAACAGACGAGTTCTTTGCAGACAGTTTCGAAGTTCAACATTTGTCTGAAGGATGGCCCAGGTATGCCCAGGTGTTTGCTGTCATTTGTTTGTGTCAGGATCATCTACAGCTCCAGCATCACTGCGACGAGTCTTGGCCAAAAATGGCAAGAGGCTTTGCAGATCTTCTACTCCGCCCGTGCTGCTGGCGCCTTGGGCGTGCTTGGCGCTAGAGCTTTTTTGAGCAAACACCTGAAAAACCTGAAACCATCAGCAAAGACTTCAGATCTCTTCAGATTGATGTCAAACACCATTTATGTTGTCGTTTTATGCTTCAGATTTGCTCCGAATGGAAGCATTCACGTTTCCTCCCATTTGTGGTGCTATCACTTCAAGGCGCAGTGAACCTCATCGTCTACAACGCAGCCATCAGCGCATGCGAACGCGGCAGCGAGACTGGGCTGGAAAGTCTATAGTGAGACTGTTCAGCAAGAAAAAAATTGAAGAACGGCCGGATCAAATGTGTCGATGAAAGAACTGAAAAATCTGACAGCTTCACAAGGACTGGCAAAGGGCCTTGTCTTTGATGGAAGACCTGAAAGACAAAGTTCGAATCGATGTGATCACCTACAACGCTTCCTGGCAAACAAGAATGTCGGATGAACGAGTGTGGTTGGACTGGAAACTTCCGCCATGTGTCGTGCGTGCATTTGAGGGACCATCCGAGGATTGGCCTCCGCTAGAGTGTACTCACTCTACTGGTAGTATTTCATACTGTATCCCTGACTTGACCATCTCTGCCTGCAATCGGCATCCCAAATATGCAAAGCAAAGCTCCAAACATCGCAAAAGTTCAACATGCAGGCTGCTATCAGCGCGTGTGAGAAGAGTCGCCAATGGCTACGAGCACTGCAGCTATTTGACCAAGAGGAGAGTTTTGCTGACACAAAAGCCAAGCCATGAAAGTTAATAGCGATGGAACCTAATAGCGATGGCCTCCAACCTGATAGCAATGGCCTCCACCTAGTAGCAACGGCCTCCAACCTAATGGCGATGGCCTCGAACCTACTAGCCATGGCATCCAACCCAATAGCAATGGCCTCCAACCTAATAGCAATGGCCTCCAACCTAATAGCAATGGCCTCCAACCTACTAGCAATGGCCTGCACCCTAATAGCAATGGCCTCCAACCTAATAGCCATGGCCTACAACCAAATAGCAATGGCCTCCAACCTAATAGCGATGGCCTCCAACCAAATAGCAATGGCCTCCAACCTAATAGCGATGGCCTCCAACC